AATTTATTTCAAATTAACTTCACATTAACTTATATTTCTTATTCATATTTCTTAAGATTCTGTAAGATTTCTTGGCATTTGCGCAGTACTCTTCAGCCAGTGGTAACCACAATACTAGCCGACTTACCAGAAACTCTTTCAATTATCAAACATAAAACAACACTAAACACATGGATAACAGTTAGTGTGTTAGTGTACTGATGTCTTGTTGTTTTTTGTTTATTCTTCTTGATATATTAAAGGGTTCTGAAACATCCTGCCAAAGGACTGCAGTTGAAAATTAGCCGGCTGGCTAACACTGGCATATTTACAGAAATGTTGATTAATGTGTGTTGTCCTTTAAATAAATAAATCAATCAAATAATTCAGTCCCGTTCATGCAAGATTAAGTTCCGCTCCTATTAAAAAAAGTTATATTTCTTCCCGTCCCTGCCAGCAACTTTAATGATTTGTTTCCGTTCCCGCTAAATTGTTCTTCCCATCCGCTATCCCACAGGTAGAGATTTAGGCAGATTACAGGGTCCCATTTCTTCTGACCCCTTTCTTCTGTTGCATTTGTCGTAGCAGGTAAAAGGATACGGTGATTCGAGTTTGTGCGGCGCGAGAGGGAAGCGGGAGAAATGACTCGAAGACTCCTGCAAAATACAATAAATACCTAAAAATATAATAAAGATTACTCAAATGTATTTTGTTTTAAAGGTAGGCCTACAGAATGGTATTCTTCTATTGTGCAAGCATTAAACTCTTTGGAATGTGGATTTGTGAAAACAAATAGAAAAACCAAACAGAAATGGAAGCGTCAGCGCAAGTTCTACTAGGAAGACTTAATGCTACGTCACATATTACAATTAGATCTAGCCAATCGGCATGCAACACGAGGAATATAAAAGCCCTCTACTCACCCTTCATTGTGTTTGTTTGTACTGCCGCTGTTGCGGTCGTTTGGTAATGTTGCCATACATACAGGTGTTTTCTTTTCTCGGCGGAGGATGTGAAACATGGGCGGAGCTTTTAGTTCACGTCCGCTGTCATTTCCGAGTGCTTTCCGATCTGTCGTGTCGGCGCTGCTCGCGTCTCAGTCAACAAAATATTCCGCCGTACGCTCACGTGAACCTGCACGAATCTGGGCCAGCTGTCGGAAACAAGGCTGCTGGTCTCCTTCGGCATTTCGTCTTCATCACTTCATTAGCCTTCACCATTATAAGTATTATTTTGTTTTATGCACTCCATTTTTTCACAGGCATGTCTGTGCTTGTCTGCAAAGAGGTTCTTGCTGTCTATTTCTGCATAAGCGTCCTCTGAATAACAGCAAGAATGTGAACGGACATGTTTTCTTGCTATGCTCAAACATGAAAGCTTCCCAATGCACAATATATTGACTAACTTAGAATTTCATCAGTTTCGTCTAATCCGTTATTCTTTTACTATTCTCAGGACATATTATATTTAAGGTAATTAGCTCTATCTTGTCAATGTTTGGACTTAGAGGTTATATTTACTACAGTTCTGTTAAAAAAAAAAAAATTAGTCGTGCCCCGTGACTTTAACGTCCTGGTCAGTGTATGCTCATTCATGACGTCTGCTTTAAAGTTTTCTATTTTTGGGAGATAGGTTTCCTCTGCGGGTTCCGGCAGTCAGATGGAGTTCTATCAAGCGTGCGTATGAGTCTAGCCTAATGAATGTTCATGTATCTGTGTATATGCTCTTTCTTAAGTCGCTGTTAGAACCCCAATACCTCGGAGTTGGTGCTCTGCATTTGTCCCATCCAAGGTGCACACGCACAGCGGTGGGCATGCGCGCACCGTGGGCATGCGCCCGGAGCAGTGGGCAGCCATTTTGCTGCGGCGCAAGGGGGGCAGTTGGGGATTCCGTGCCTTGCTCAAGGGCACCTCGGTCGTGGTGTTGGGGGTGGGAGGGAGCTTTCTATTTTTGGGAGATAGGTTTCCTCTGCGGGTTCCGGCAGTCAGATGGAGTTCTATCAAGCGTGCGTATGAGTCTAGCCTAATGAATGTTCATGTATCTGTGTATATGCTCTTTCTTAAGTCGCTGTTAGAACCCCAATACTACCTCTATCATTTAACCTCTCCAACACAATGCGGTGGTTTAGAATTCCTGTAATCCACTATCAAGCTGCTACGTACATGATCGTCCTCCACATCCGAGTTCCGTCAAGATCAGACTCTAAACTATTTCATGTAATCTCAAGGTACAGTATGATACTCTTAGCAAACTAACTACTGATGTTGCTTCTCACATGCTCCTCATGTCCAGTCTACCATGGCTTTTCACATAC